ATTATGTCACCGATCCATCTTTTTCTTTGACTTCTTCTTTTTGATCCGGACTACGTCCTTTGTATTATATCAGCGGTTTTCAACTTGTGGTACGCGTACCCCTAGGGTTACACCAGCTGTTGCCAAGGGGTACGCAAAAAAACTATAAAAAAACAAAAAATATTTTAAGAAAGCTATTTTGTACAATATCAGATGAAACAAGATTATAGTGACAGTCAGCAGAGTATTTAACAATATTAAATACAATATTCTATAAATTCTACCGAATGGTTAGGTATTCTAACCATTCGGTAGAATATTGTAAAAATTATGGTCTATTACCAACATTTACAATATTAAATACTAAATATTTTATATAGCAGATTATAGATAGAATATTATTCTGACTTCTATGGCAAAACGAAATGAGAATTCGCAGAATCTCATGTCCTATTTGCCAGGGCTAATTTAATTTATTATAATTATGCATTCAGCGGATGGCAGAAGCTCACACTGTAAACTTGTAAAGTTTAAACATAATAGTTAACGGTCATACTTTACAAGTTGACCCCATGGGCTTCTGTTATCTGCTGAATGCATGTTAAAATAGAATTAAACGTTAATTTTTTGTTATTTTTTCTTTGTTTTGCTATTCTTTGTTGTCATGGTTTCGTCATTACACAAAAATAAATTAATGAACCTAATATTTTATCTTAATTATTAATAAATACAATTTAATTTAAAATATCGGAATTAATTATAAAAACATTTACTAAAATTTCTTAGATAAAGTTAAAGTTAAACAATGGATAAATGGCTCAAACAACAACCATTAAAACGAAAGTCATCCTCTAGCATCGCAACTGAACCGATGCTCAGCGCAGATGTCCATGCAGATTCAGACTCGGATGATGACATTCAAAAGCTGCGGAAGATTAGGCGATATGATGAAAAGTATTTGTCTCTTGGATTCTCGTGGTGTGGTGAAGAAAAAGAACCAAAGCCACAGCGTGTCGTATGTAATGAAAAATTATCAAATCATTCGATGAAACCTTCATTACTTCAACGTCACTTTAATACAAAACATGCTCTTCTCAAAGATAAACCCCTAGAATTTTTCAAAAGAAAAGAAGTTGAATTGAAACATTGTAGGAGCACCTTAAAATCAATCACAGGGGCTAACGCTAACTCACAAGCTTTAGAGGCGTCCTAAGAGGCGTCTTTAGAGGCGTCAATTTGGTAAGTCTGAGAATTGCTCAAACTGGAAAACCACACACTATTGGGGAGATTCTTATATTGCCTGCAGCTAAAGATATTGTGTCATTCATTCTAGGAAAAAATGCTGCCAATAAACTTAATGTCGTTCCATTGTCCGATAATACAGTTTCTCGAAGAATTCATGATTTAGCATCAGATGTAAAAACCATTCTTATTAAAAGAATCCAAGCAAGCAAATACTTTGCAATTCAGTTAGATGAAAGTACAGATGTTACAAACTTTGCACAGCTGATGATGTATGTTAGGTACGAATTTGAGCAGTCTATTGAAGAGGAATTTTTGTTCTGTGAGTCTTTATCAGGCCGGACAACAGCTTTAGAAATATTTAAAAGAGTTGATGATTTCATGACTTTAAAAGGAATAGATTGGCAACATTGTGTGGGAGTGTGTTCTGATGGTGCAACTGCGATGACTGGCAAATATGGTGGAGTAGTTATGCAAATTAAACAGGTTACACCAGAAGCAAAATTCACACATTGCAGTATTCACCGTGAAGCTCTTGCTACCAAAGCCATGCCTGCTAGTTTGAAAACTGTTTTAGAACAATCTGTTAAAGTTGTTAATTTTATAAAATCTCGGGCTTTCAATTCTTGTTTGTTTTCAATAATGTGTAATGAAATGGGAAGTGACCATAAAAAGCTTCTTTTGCACACAGAGGTACGATGGTTGTCACGAGGAAAAGTGTTATCTCGACTTTTTGAACTACGTTCAGAAGTGCAAATATTTCTCATGGACACTGGATTTCAAACAGCCGATTTATTTCTGAATGAGTTATGGTTAATGGTTAGGTTGGCGTATTTAGCGGACATTTTTGGTAAATTGAACGACTTGAATTCTAGTTTGCAAGGACGAAATATAACTCCGTTTGTTGTTGTTGACAAAATAAATGCAATCATTAGGAAGCTACAGTTCATGGTTTCAGATGTTGAACAATTTCAAGTAACAGCATTTCAATCACTGCACACATTCATGACTGAGAACGAACTTCAACTGCATCCTAACATGGCTGAAGATATCAAGAACCATTGTTCTCAGTTACTTTTGAATTTTCGAACCTATTTTTCTGAAAACTTTGATGACAAAACTTGGATAAGAAATCCATTTTATGATGTTGCATTGCCAGCTGACTTTTCTGTTCAAGAAAGAGATCAATTCATTGAACTTTCGTGTGATGGTAGATTGAACACTTTTTTGCCAAATCTGCTTTTGCTTTTTCTGGTCCTTTTCTCTGGAACTCTCTACATACTTCTCTGACTACTTCTCCATCACTTGCGAAGTTCAGAGCGGATCTCAAGACTCATCTGTTTTCAAAATTCATTGAGGAGCGCTGTTGAACATCGCGGAAATAGCGCTTTATAAGCTAATTGATTGATTGATTGATTGATTGATTGATTGATTGATTGATTGATTGATTGATTGATTGATTGATTGATTGAAGAATGAATTCAACAAGGACTTGTTGAGTGATTTTTGGCTTAAAAGAAGAGAAGAATATGGATTAATTTCTGACAGAGCTTTGAAATTTTTGATCCCTTTCAGTACTTCTTATCTCTGTTAAACTGGATTTTCTGCAATGTTGGCAATAAAAAACAATTACAGATCAAAACTTGAACTTGAGCCAGACCTGCGTCTAAAATTGACATTAATAAAGCCTGACATTGCAGAATTGTGCAAATCTAAGCAAGCCCAGTGCTCACATTAACATGATTATACTTTTATTGTGACAATGAGCTGAACTCTCTGACTCTTTGTCTTAGCAGAAAACTATGATTATTAGGTTTTTATTAGCATAATAATTATTATCAGCAGGACTATATTTTCATGTTTTTCAAAAAGATTTCAAAAATAAAAATAACATTGTTTTCGATTAAATTAATTTTGGCATGAAACCATGATAATTTTAATATAATATTAATATTATAATAAATTTAGTAAAATGTATAAGCAGATAGGACTGTCACTAAAGTAACTGTACTAAAATAACCAAAATTTACTAAAATAGCTAAATTACTAAAAAAATAAAGTTTCTGAGAAATTTTTGTCTGATGGGGGTACGTACGCAAATAACATTTTAACTTGAGGGTACAACAAAAAAAAGGTTGGGAACCCCTGTATTATATTATATATCTTTTTCATTGCATTGGTGTTTTTTGAAGATGTGACCAAAATAGCATAATTTTTTCATTTTGATTTTAGGCAAAAATTTTCGTTGTACTCCAGTCGTTTTTAAAACTCAATTTTTTGTTTTTATGTTTTTCCATGACACCCTCAGTATTTTAGAACCTTTCTTTCCAAATGCTTCAATTTTTTTTTCATTTTTTTTAATGTTCAACCTTCCGAATTCTATATTGCAAGTAGCTATACCAACGTGTCCGGCATGCGAATTTAATATTTAATGTTATGGAATGGTTTTTCCATATCCTTTGCAGACCGGCTGTAACTTCTAGTGCTTTGCCAAGTCTTGCTTTGATATCTTTGGTGCATTAAGTATCGGACGAGGATGCATGCTTGATTATGGACTATGGTTCATGTTTCTTTGAGGACGGATGATGATGATTGATGATAACACATGGATAATAATGCATGAATGATGTCGCCTGGATCTTATAAAATTTTCTCTCTTGTCGTAAAAATTTGCTATTCAAGTACGTATGCAGCCTTTTAGAGGTAAAATATTTTTCAATGCGGCCCTCATAGCAAAAAGTTTGCTCAACCCTGTGATGGGATGATAAAGTAAGTGTTGTCAACGTATTTGATGATTTGATTAGAACAATAAAAAGTTTTGAGAGTAGAAGCATTGATGATAAAGGTAGATGATCCAAGGACTGAACCTTGAACTACACTAAAGTTATTAGTTAAGGTAGATAAAAGAGTAGAGCTAAAAAAGTAAGATGACTCCTTTAGAGAAGTCAGGAGCAATAAGATGAACATAATTATTATTTTTAAGAAGAGATGTTATTATAGAAGTAAGAGAGAGGATGGCGGAAGTAGATGCGGCTGTAGGGTGAAAAGCAAACTGGTCTTGTAATAGTGGCTTGATAGAAGGATGATTAAAACATGGATAGAATGATGTATGGATGTATGAACGAACACGGATGTATGAATGGCGGATTTGTCGGGTTGAAGATTAAGCAGCTGTTGTCATGTGAATTGAATCATGCGTTCGTGCAGATGTGAGCGATAATTAGTAATTATTAATTATAATTAATAATTATAATTAGTAATTATTAATTATAATTATTAATTATAATTAGTAACGTGCAGATGTGACCGATAATTATTAATTATAATTTGTACCGAGTCCAAACAGAATAAGAGTGATTAAAAGTAAAAACGAGCGAAAAAAAATGAAATTAATAAAACAGAACAGTAGAACATAATTAAGAAAAATGAAATTAGCTAAAAATAAAATGGTTATTTTAATTAAATTACTTTGCACGCACCGCCGGAAACCAAGAAAAAAAAGTTGCGGCAACTCTACTGTTAATTCTTGTGTGATTCTACATGTCTTTAGCAATATTGATGATAACAGGATGAGGAAGGATATATGAGGATGATGCATGGAAGATGACGCATGGAGGATGATGCATGGATTATGTTGCATGAATTGTAATGCGCAAATGATATTTTAAAGATGACGATGTTGATGATAAGCAAAGTGACGACGGAAATGAAAATTGAAAATCAGAATAATATCATTCAAAAAAACTAGTTAAATAAAAAACATTATCCATAATCCCAGGTGGAAAGAAAAGAGAAAAAATGAGAACATTAAGTGGAGAACATTGGAGCACAAGGTGATGATAACAATTATTACTACAGAGTCATAAAATTTAAAGTCACTTGAGATCATGAACAACAAATATATAAAAGTAAGTTTACCATCACTATGTTGAGAAGACAGCAGCATTTTCATAATCACGTTCATCAATCCCGCAAAGGTAGTTATAGCATTGTTATTCCAATGATATTCATAACCAAAAATGTTTAACAACTGCATAAGCTTATCAACAAATTATGAAAAAATCTTTGATATTCCAATTAATTTTTATGAAGGGCCCATGTTTCGCTCCCCCCTACCAATGCCTCCCTCGCAACGTGCGTTTCTACTACGACAAAATTGCCACGAAGTTGTCGTTGGAGGCAGAAGAGGCTGCTGGTTTCTATGCGGCCCTACAAAACAGCAGAAAAACATCTGCAACCTTTGACAGGAACTTCTTCGCTGATTGGAAAAGTGTTGGTTTTGATGCTGTTGGTTTGAAAATTTTTTTGTTGGCTGGTTTTTAAGTTGATTCGCTTGATTGTTTGTAAAAATTTATTTGATTTTTCAAATTTCTTTTGAAGTTTGAAAGTTTTTAGAGTACTACAAGGAAGTTATAGTCTTGAACGAATGAAAAGAAAATTAAATTTTTTGTTAACTAATCAGACCATGAGGAACAATGAACGTTGCCTCATAAGAAACTTTAATAAATGTAATTTCAAAGAATTAGAAAATCACTTCAAAAGAATTTCAGACGCAAAGAAACAAAAGACTAGAGAAGAAAAACAAGTTAGTTAAAGTGGATGTTTTTGGTTGTGATATGGTGTGGGTTTGAAAATGTTTGTGTATGGGTTTGGATGGCTTAGATAACACACATGTTCAGTGGCGGATCTAAAAGGGGCCGGGGGAGCTAGTGCCTTCACGTTCCCCGTTGTAAGCAGTATTTTTAATAAAAGTCTGTAAAACTCATTGTTTGAACAAAAAAGCACCGTTTTAGGTCGAAAATCTTGAAAATTTACCAAAAATTGAGGATGGACGTGATAAAGCAAAAAAATGTTGGCCCATCATCAAAATTTTGGCCAAAATTCAAACATTTTCAAAATTTTGGCTTTTCAAAAATATTGTCTAGATCTGTCCCTTCACATGTCCATAAAAAAATTGAAAAGAAAACAACTTTAAAAAACAAACCCTGACAAAAATTGTTGAAGATTACTTGAAATAATTAGTAAATTGTTGTTATTAAAGTTAAAAATATTAGACAAAAAAGATTTGTTGGAATTAATGATAATTCTACTATCCATAAGTGTGTATTTAAATAGTTGACATAATTAGAAAATAAAAGAACCGTTGCAGGCTTTAAAGAAAGCTAACGAAAAATTACAAAAGACATATGGCTACTGTGTTGTGGATGGTCATAAACAAAAAATTGGTTCGTTGCATTGAAATTTTTTGAAAGTTGGTTTACTAATGTTATTTAAAATTTAAAAATATTAAATATTTTTTGTGATTAGAATAAAACTACTTAACAAGTCATAACTGCATACAATCTCAAAAACATACCACCATCATAAATTAAAGTTTCTATGTTAAAGTTGTTATGAATTTTAAAATATTTGTTTGTCGAACATCAGACAACTATTTAAAATTCAAAAATCATTTTAGGAAACTTTCGTGTGGAGCCACCTGGTTTGTTTGTCGGCAGGGGCGACCACCCGAAACAAGGAATGCTGAAAAGAAGGGTTCAGCCAGAAGATGTCACCATTAACTGCAGCCTGTTTGTTTACTCTTTAAATATTTTCAACTCATACAATTTAATTGCAATGATAATGTTAGTGAGATGTTGATGTTGGTGAGATGATGATGTTGGTGAGATGTTGATGTTGGTGATAATGATGAGGAAACTTAATGATTACAGTGAATGATTCAATATCGTTTAACTTAATGAAGGGGCCCAAAGATTCCCAAGCCACCAACAGGCCACAAGTGGAAAGAAGTTATGAACAACAACACGGTATGTTGTTGTTCATAACTTTTGTGAATATTTATAGTACAAAAACATATCAAATGTCCTCAAAAAAAATTTTTTACAAAGCCACATTATTTTTCAACGACAAAAACTTCTTAAAAGGTTACCTGGCTGGCCTGCTGGACGGAGAACATCTTCAGAACGAAAAAGTACATCATGCTCAATCCTGCGTCGAAACTGAAAAGTCAGAAGGACTGGCAGAAGTACGAAACCTCCCGCAAGCTGCACAAGTGCCTCGACGACATTAGGTCCAACTACAAAAAGGACTTCAAATCGAATGAGATGTGTTTTAGACAGAGGGCTGTTGCACTCTATTTTATCGATCAAGTTTGCACGCAGGCTTTTGATTTTTATTATTAAAATAAATTTACTCAAATGAACCACAATATACTTATAAGTAATGAACTGACAAATTAACTAAATTTTGTTATGTAAGTAATTGACTAAGGTTTTATGCTTCATTGAATTGCCATTCAAGTCTCTGTAATGGCGCGATGTATGTGATGCATGCCTGTGAAACATGAACATTGAAGGAAGAAGACAAAAGAAAACTAGATGCATTTGAGATGAAATGTACAGAAAAATGCTCCGTATGAAATGGACCAAAAGAGAACAAACGAAACTATGAGTCAGAATTAATAGAATTAAGACGATAACGACGGGAGTATTAGAAAAAAATGAGTTTTTTCGGACAGGCTCACAAAAATAGTTGTGTTTGCCAAAACAGAAAGTAGAAGGAAGAAAGGAAGACTCACAAGAAAATGGTTAGATGATATTGAAGAATGGAAGAAACGTATGGATGGCCAAAAAGCAAGCCAAATCAAGACATGGTTTCTGGAATAAAAGATAACGCTATCGGCCCCGATGGTTTTCGGACTATGGAGAACATTGGATGGATAGATGGAATGGCCCGATGGTGTACCGTTAAAGTGCCTGGAACCGCCATTGTAGTCACTAGGTTCAATTGCAAAGAGAATTGCAAACATGCAATGCGTATGATGTGTTGCTTCACGGGTATTTGCATACATTGTTTTTCGTCGTTGATGCCCCTGAAAACTTTTGAAGGGAGAATGGTAAAAAATAAAAATGAATAATTAAAATATTGTTTGTTTGTTTGTGCAGTTTAACGGCGTTTCAGCACAACTGGCTATCTTTACGCCCCTTGTTCCTTTTCTATAAATGCGTTTTGTTGTTTTAAAACTTTTGAGAAATTATTTTTAAATTCTATTAAAAACTTGTATTTCCTGAAGGAATGATATTAGATTATTGATTTTATCTCTGGAAAAAATTGGAGATGGAGATGTTTTATATGCTTCCAAAACTCTTCTTAATGACTCGTTGATTATTGGTTGAAGAATTTTGAGATATGATTTCCTTGTTGATCCATAAACTGGGCTAGCGTAGTTTATTATTGATCTTATCGTTGTCTGGTAAATTGTCATCAAGTGCATTTGATCTGCTCCCCAAGTATGATGAGATAAAACTTTGATCAGGTTGAGTGCTTTTAGACTTTTTTTTTTGTCGCTTGAATATGGGGAATGAAATTAAGTTTATCATCGATTATGATTCCCAAATATTTATATTGCTGGGTGAAATCTATGAAATTTTAATTTGGGGTAGATCTCGTTTCGTTTTTTTGAAAAAAGGATGGCTTTTGTTTTGGTTTCTGAAAATTTAATTCCATTTTCTATTGCCCATTTTTCTAAGGTTTTCAAAAATGTGTTTATTTCCCCTGGCATTTTGCTAATATCTTTATTTCGAAATGTTATTGTCATATCATTCATATACAGTAAAGTTATTGCTCTTTTAGAAATTATATTTGTTATGTTATCTAAAAGTAAACAAAAAAGTTTTGGTGACAAAATGCTTTCTTGTGGAATACCTAGATCTGGATACTTTTTTTCAGAAAATGTGTTGTTAAATTTTACCTGAAAGGATCGATCCGTCAAGAAATTTTGAATAAATCTAGGGAGGAGTCCTCGTAAACCAATTTGATGTATCTTTTTCATAATTCCATAGTTCCAAGCTCTATCATAGGCTTTCTCTATGTCTAAAAATATTGTTATGACTTGTTTGTTATTGTTTAATGCTTGTCTTACCAATGTTTCAAGCAGAAGTAGGTTATGTGGATCTTCCTTTGGTTCCTCCACACTGTGAATTTGATATTATTTTATTAATTTTGAGATACCAATCTAGTCTTGTATTAATTATTTTTTCCATTATTTTGCAGGTGCAACAAGTTAATGATATCGGTCTGTAATTTTCAGGTTGAAGTTTGGATTTGTTTGGTTTATTTATTGGAATTTTTCTTTCATAGTTATTGAGGTATTATATGGTTCTAAATTATTTGAATTAAAATGTAAAGCTTTACTTTCTTCTATTGACTTGATCGTTGCAAAATTACTGTTTAAATTGATAGCCAAGATGTTTGATATTTTTTGGTCAGTTGTATACTCTTTACCATTGAGTGAAATGTGGCTGTTTTTATTAGTATTATTTTTATTTTTTAATTTTCTGATCATTTCCCAAATTTTATTTATAGATGTGTTGGAATTGAGATTATTGATAAATGAGTTCCAAGATTTTTTTTTCTTCTCTTACTGTTCTGCGTGCCTCTGCTTTGATCTTTTTATAATTTATAAAATTGTCTTGATTGGGATTATTTTTGAAACTTTTAAATGCATTTTGCTTCTGTTTGATTGCATCTTTGCACTTCTCATTGTACCAAGTATTTAAAACTTTACCTTTTTTATTTTGAATAACTGGGATAGTTTGTTTTATGACTTTTGATATGATTTCTATCCATCTGTTCATTGACTCATCGTCAATTGTGTCAAAATTTTTAATTTGATCCTCTATCATGAATGTAAAACTACTCCAATCTGTTTTGTTGTAGTTAAATCTTTTCAAATCTGAATTTGTGGGTTTATTTCTGATGGATATAATTATTGGGTAGTGATCACTGCCATGTAAGTCATGTTCTGCATCCCATTCAATATCTTCAAAGAGAGTTGGAGTTGTCATGGCTAGATCAATTGTGGATGAAGTGTTTGTGTTTTCATGGTATCTTGTTGGTTGTGTTGGCTTAATCAGGCAAAGATCATTTTCTATTATTGTTTTTTCCAATTGCTTACCCTGAGAATTTGAGTTTAGGCAATTCTAAATTTTGTTGTGAGCATTGAAATCTCCAAGAAATATGAATGGTTTAGGAATCTGTTTTATTATTTGTTTTAAGTTTTGTGATTTAATCAAAGAATTTGGCTGTTTGTAACCATTGCATATTGTTATTGATTTGTTGTAGATTGTTATTTTTGCTGCTATGAAATGATTATCGATTTTTATATTAACGGGAGACTGTGTTATATTGTAATGAATATAAATTGATGTTCCAGCTGATGGATTTGTTTTTGTGGAGATAGCTGCTTTATGATAACCCATGTAGTTTTTCAATTTTATTTGTTTATCTTCAGTGTTTTTTGTTTCTTGGAGACAAATGATATGTGGATTGTGTTTAGAAATTAGGATTTGTAGTTCTGGTAAATTGTTTTTCATTCCTCTGATGTTCCATTGAAGGATTTTGATTGTGTGGGAATTTTTATCTATTATTATGTCTTAAATAGGATTATTTGTTTTGGAGTTATTAATGAATCTTTTAGTGTCTGGTATTTCTTTTGTTTGTTTATTATAAGCCATGTTTATTTTTGGGAACGTTTTTCATTTTTACATTAATGTCATTTTTGTTAGAATCTTCCTCGTATCTTCGCTAAGGCATTCATCACTTTTCGTGTTTTCATCGCTGGAAAACATATACGGATCTTTGTTTTCTTTACTTGTTTTATTATAGTTTTTATGGGATTTTATTTGTTGATCTAATTCTAATTTTTTTGTTGTTTCTTGAGATATATCATTATCAGAAGTTTTTCTTTTTTTGTAGTTTTTGGTGGAATTTGATAAACAATTTATAAGATTGCATTGAATTTCTTTATCAATCATTGTTACTTTTTTTTATTATTTGAGATAACATGGGTTTCTGTTGTTGACATATCTGACTTTTTGCTTGGTTATATGATACATTATTTTCTGTTTTTCTTTTGAGTATTTCTTTTTCCAATTTAAATTTTGAACACTCTTTAGAGAAAGTTTCATGTTTATGTCCACAGTGATAACAATTTGGCTCATTTTGGCATGGTGCTTTCCATGTATGTTTGTGCCCTTTATTTCCACATCTTGAACAAATCAGATCTTTACTTCTGCAAATTTTATGGTGATGACCATACTTCTGACATTTAGTGCATCTTGTGGGTAATGGAATAAATTTTTCAATTTTTATTGAGTGGTAACATACTTTTATTTCTGAAGGAAGTTGAGATGTGTTGAATGTTAGGATAAAGGTGTTAGTATTTATTTTTTGATTATTTTTAGTTATTTTTATATTAAAAATATCTATTACACCCTGCTTTTGTAATTCCTCTTTCATTTTTTCCTCTGAACGGTATCTGAAAATTGTAGTCCTAATAACTCTTTTACTTGTATTCAAAACTTTATGAGGATAGCACTTTACTTTTTCATTTATAATTGTATTAATTTTTAGTATTTTGTCTCTTTGACTTTCATCTTTTATTTTAATTAAGATTCTGTTCTGTTGAATTTTAATGAAATTCAGTTCGCCTATATTGTTTTGGAAATATTTACTAATTTTAAAAATTGACATTTTTCTGAAGTCATGGCTGTTATCAGGGGATAGTGGTTCAATGACGAAAACCATTGGTCCGTCTATCATGGTTGAAGGTGAAAGAGACCTCGTCTTCTTCTTCTTCTTGTGTGGCGCCAGCTTGACTGGCCCACCGGCACCTTCCGTTGAGTTGTAACGAAACAAAATTCAACAATTTATATTAACTTAAACTTTTAAATGATTATAGAAAAAATACAAAAAAACTAGAAAATTAAAGTTCTTCCACCAAAAGAGAAAATTATTCTAATTCGGCACGAATAAACATGTTCGCCATATATCGCTCAACCCAGAATCCAAATTAAAATAGTGTTTGGTACTGAAAAGTACACACCACATGAAACGTCTATTATATGAAATGACGGCATCCACTTCCAAACAGCTAGCTCTCAGAGTGGGCAACGAGAAAGATAAGGAGACGGCCGACACTGTGGGATGTTGTTCGTTGAGAGTTGAACACGTCAAACTGCACAACACTCTCAATGGCAAGAGGAATGTCGTCGAGTTTGATTTTCTCGGAAAGGATTGTATAAGGTGGGTTTGCCGTGGAGTTTGTTGCTGGATGGTGTGTTGAAAACTTCAACAGCATCATCGGTGTTTGTTACATCTAGACTTCCTTCAACAAATTTTATTTTTTTAAACGGCGCTCCGCTAGTTTACTTAGAACGTTAATTTTTGCCAAACTGTTAATAAATGCAGTTAAATATTATTCGACATTGAAATGATTGAATCATTTGATTGTTGGAGTGGTTTTCATGCGATGTTTTTATTTAGTTTTTGTTCAATGTCCGTTTTTCTGTGATGGTATGTCTGATTGAGAATATCAAAATCTGTATTTAACATGTGTCAATTTTTTCATAAAAAAATAAATAAAGACAAATTATTATTTTTCACAACAACTCAATTGATTGAAGCATTTGAATTAACAATTTTTGATTACAACACCCACCGATTTATGTAGATACACCAATAGAGTACCTGTAATTAAGATGGTCTTTGATAACCTTAAGTTGTTCATGAGAAAAAAGTGTCATGGCTCTGAACTGTTCGACTGTCTTGATGTGAGCATGTTAAATGTTGATGTCATGATGTGGTCATGTTGAATGTTGATGTCTTGATGTCATCATGTTAAACGTTGATGTTTTGATGTGAGCATGTTGCTGTTTTGATGAGATGATGTTGAATATGGATGTTAATAAAAAAAATATTTTTAATGCTCTTCACACAACCAGGCAAATATGTTGAACAAACATTTGCAAAGCATTATGGATGGTCTGACGGCAAAGGTCTTCAGGACGTTCCATGCATCGAGAACATTACAAGAGAAGTTGGATCTATTAACTGTTGGTAAGCTTTGTTCAACAAAATATAGCAAAAAGGAAGTGCTAAATAGATTGAGAGTGTTGCATATTTACCATTCAACTTTTAATGCAGAATTTCTGACGTTGTTTATTACGTGTTCGTTAACAATCGTAGCATTTGAATAAGAACATTAGTATACACACACTAAACCTGTGCACCCGCCCACATAAACATTGGTTTACATAGAAAAAGACAGTCTGCATGCTAAACTCTTCAAGTACAACAAAGCCAACCGCGACGCCGCCCTTCTCTGCAATCACCAGAGAGCTGTTCCGAAGAACTTTGAAAAGCAGATTGAAAATTTAAGATCAAAGGTAATTATCAGCCAAGCTTTTTCAGTTAGTATATTAAACGAAATTTCTTATCAACATTCTATCTTGTAACGAATTAAATTTTATACAATTTGCAGATTGATGCAAAAAAGGCACAACTGAGAGATGCTGAAAAAGTGTTGAGAAAAGCCAAATCTGATAAGAAATTTTCAAAATGTAAAAAAAAAGAATTGTGAGTTTTTTTCGTGGTACGCAGAATGTTCGCCTACGATCATGCATTCAAATACATAAGATGTTGGTTATTTCGCACACATGTCGTTGATTGCTCACGTATTAATTCTATGTCAAGTTTGAAAATGCGGCACCCGCCTCACAAAATGACAAATTTTACTTTGTAAATCACGAATTTTTTTGTAAGTGAATGGTATAGCCATAGATTTTCGCTGGATTTCCAGTTGAACCCTACAAAACTTTCCATTGTAAGAGGCTGCAGTCCAGAAGCCCTCCCCCTTATTTGACCACACCTCCCACTGTGGTATTGTTACATAGATGCAAACGATACTATATCAAATTCATCAAAGATTTTTAATGTTATAACTTGCACGATCGTCACTTCTGACACCGGTGTTGTTACAAGCTTATCAGTATATTCCGTAGTTTCAAGATATCTGATAGATAAACACAACTGCTCCAAATGCAAACTTGTTTAAACGTTTATTCAAATGCTAACAGTAACAGAAACACTAAATTATTTACAAATCCAAGAAATACGCGCGATCGTCGATAATTCAGATCGTAAGTACATAAATCACAACTACAACCTCACTACTTTAACAACTTGTGCCTTGTCAAATACAGCTTTACAAACGAGAGTTTTTACAGTTCTACAAAGATAACAAATAATCAAGATAATAATAATTTATTGAAGTTAATTATATAGCGCAACTCGACCATTCCTGTGGTTTCAACAATATGTTAGTGTTTATCAGAACTGATGCCACTTGAAAATTTTATCTGAATGCTTTTCAAATTTTATTTTTCAGGGTTATAAATGAAAATTTGATGGTTTAAAAGTTATTTTTGATCTTGTTTCAGAGTAATGAAGAAAGAAGCGACTTGCAACAAACTGAAGGAACATGTTACGAAGTTGCAGCTGCAGTTGAAAGATAAGGTTAAAATAATCAAGTTTGTTAATGGAGATGTTTTTATATCAATAAATGTTCTGATGCTGTTTTTCATTGTTTCAATATTTTTTACATATGAAAAATTGATTAAGGTGTTAATAATTTTACATGTGACAATGAGTGAATTAATGAATGAACGAATGAATAAATGAATGAGCCAGTGCAATGGCGGATTTAGTGGGAGGGGGGCCGTGGTACTATGGCCAGATTTTTTTAAATTAAAAGTCAGAAATTAAGTCAGTAACCCAGATCTTAGACAAGAAAAACTGGGTTTTCATATTTTTTTTTCATTACAAAATCGACCCAAAATTGGCATGATAAGAAAAAAATGTCGCCAACCTAGTTTTGGCCACACTAATGAGCTTTTTGCTAATTTGTTTGCCCCATCAAATTTCAACATTTTTTAAATTTTGGCCTCTACCTCCCATTTTACGTTGTCCAGATCCACCACTGAACGTATGAGCAGTGCAAACATTAATGATTGAGCTATTGACAAGTTCTTCATATGTATAATAGTTAGAAAATCGAGAAATAGCCCTGGGAACCTCAAAGCTGAACTACCTGGATCCAAGGATCAGTGTTGCTTGGTTGTTATTTTCTATTCTATTATTATGAGTTAACCTTTTTTAAATTTTTTTTAGTCTATTTTTTATGCCGTTTAAAATTTGAGCGAAAAATTTATCAAAATCATTTTTGTTACATCATTTATTGTTTTTGAAGGCACAATCATAAAAGTCATACCGGCCATCATTTTTGCAGTCATAAAAATCATCACCAACATAGCAATCATTGGCTCAGTCAGTTTGTTTAAACACTATCTACTCCAGTCAATACCAACATTTTCATCCATTTCTTCATCGTCGTTACTGTCGATCACCATCATGATCATTACCACCATCATCATTGCCACAATCACCATCACCACCACCATCATCGTCGTCATCATCTTCATCATCACCACCATCATCATCAGCTGATCATCACCAACATTTCCATGACGACCAGGTGCAAACGATGGCAGGTGCCGATTGGAAAGATTTACAACAAGAGTCTGCAGGAGAGATTCGCGTGGGCTATCGACACGACGAAAGCAAATTTTCATTATTAAGTTCATATTGACGTTGTTATTTGAAGAGTTTATTAGTGTAATTAATTGTTAGTAATTTAAATAAACTATACTTTTGTTTAATATCTGCGTAAGTTATTTTAGAATAAAACTTTGTTCAAAAATTTTTTTATTTGCCCAAAAATTTTCATTTTTAATTAATTCAAACATAGAGTATTAAAACTAATGAATAGATGTAATTAGTGTAAGCATAATTATATTCAATTGATGGATGGAGATATTTGTAAAATTTAACTTGGTTTTACCCATTGAATTAAACGTTAGAATTGATTTATACTACTTGACCAGAACGTTAACTTAGAAGCGTTTGGATCATTATATTGCAGAAGCTCAATTGTATCATTGTTTGTTGTATATTTTATTATAAATTAATTTTAGTTTTTTTTATAATAGGCAAACAGAAAAAATTGACAGTTTAATACCAGTAAAAAATACAAACATTTTGTTGTTCTTCCATTTTAACTGTTCTTTGCTCTGCTGATGCTTCTGCTAACATTTTATTTTATTTGTTTTTTGCTGGAGATGCATCAATTTTTCAATTTTCGTTAAAGGTTAATAAGTTAATGGTTATTTTAAACCTGTTAAATGTTTTGTTAATTTTTATTTTTAAATCAAACAAACATTTATTAGTAAATAATAATTATTTAATTGTAATTACGTGAATTATTATTAAAATGTTTTTAATTTTTGAGTGTTGTGTGTGGTGTTTGCCAAATTAGAAAATTATTTACTGAAGCATTTTTCAAATTAAATTAGTCAAGAACGAGACATTTTCGTAATTCAGTTTAATTAATTCAATCTTATTTTCCTTTCTAAGCTGACAGATTTTCAACCATATTTGTCTTGTTAGTTGAGAAGTTGTCTTACTTCCTGATTGTGATTATTATTATTAATAATATTAATAATAATCACTATCAATTAATTATTATAAAAATAAAATATAACAATTATTATTTTTTATTACTGTTTGCTTGTTTGGTGGCTGATACTGTGATACAAGAACACAACTTGTGAAATTCTTGTGAACACACTGCCATATCTCTCTTACAGTGCTATGGTTTGCTTTTGGAATGATTTTATATTTATTATTTTAAATTTGCAGACGTCATAATAATAATTTTATTTATAATAATATAATAATTTATATTTCATAATATTAATTAATATAGACTTTTGAAAACATTTTTAATGTTTATCTGTTGTTTGTACTGTAATAATTATAATTATATTACATTACGTATGATTATCATAATAAATTATCATTTAACATTTTTTTTATAGAAGGTTGTAGGTAGATTATCATTTATAATTAATTTTTTTAGGTCAGATAGATTTCACTTTTTTTGCATGCATGCATCATAAATAAATAATATATAAAATTTTAATAATCTATTTCATTGTGATTACTTTAAATTTAAAGTTTTAATTATAAAAATTTATGTTATTGTTATGTTTAAAATTAGTCACATTTATAAATTTATTTTCATTATTTTTTTTCACAAATCTACGATAAATAATGAGGATAGTTTTGATGTAAGACACCGGTGTTTATCCATCTATTTAACTAAACAAAGTTATAAATTATAGAAATAATACAATTGAAAACTCAAATAAAACCAAATTTTAAATTTTCAAAAAACAAATTTTTTTTATTGAATTATTGAAAGGATTGCTTGCAGTTACATAAACTTTAATTGTTAATCATTTATAGAACACACACACACATTGACACTATGATGGTCCACAGTCCCTCACAAAAAAATTCCTTTGTATCTCAGCTCCAAGTTGTTATATTTTGACTATTATGGCTCCACAGTTACTGTGCAAAGTTGCAGCCTGCTATCTTAATATTAAGAGGTCACGCAACATAGGTGTTGTTGCTACCTTTATTTACCGTCTAAATATTTACAGAATAACAATTATTTCTCAAAACTGTCGTCGCCTGAGAACAATCCGTCATGACTTTGTCAACACAATCTGCATCCAAAAATTTTCCAATAGGAAAGCCAACAGTACCTCATCAGAAGAATCAACAGTATCAGATTGTGATGAAAATTACAAGCCTTCAACAAATCCTGGTCCTTCTATAACAGTATGCTGGAAGTCACAAATATTTGTAATTTCCCATATGTTGTTGGTGCATTTGATCGCATCAATGTCACTGACATGGGTTGCTAAATCACTTGGACATGATATATCCGATATTACATTGTCCCATAGCTCAATTTTGAGGTCCAGAATAAGGGGCAGACAATGACACCCACCTTTTCTCTGTAATTTTGTCTGTCCTAACCAAACAGTGGCAACAACAACACAAGCAGTATTTTGTAATCATTTATGGTTTCTGTCCGAGCATCTGGTCGAAATGGCATTGTTTGACGATCTGGTTGATGCTGCTCTGAAGATACGGTTGGTATGCAATTACAGTAGGCCGAGATCACCCAATATTCCTTGACGCATAGCGACAACAAGCCAAGAATTAAAGCCGTAGGATCTAGTGACAGAAGCGAGTATGTTCTTGTTAGACCTTCTCATTAAGAATGACAAATTGGTGAAAAAATCTTTCTTAAGCATGGCCAGTAATCCCAAAATTTTCCTTTAAACACCAAAGATGTTATAAGATCACCAAAAAAAGCTGTTCTGTTCTATCATGCTTAAAATAAATGAAAATTTTGGTTTTGAATTCAAGAAACTTGACAATGATTTACGATCCACCGTTAGAAAAATCGAAAAATTAAACAGGAAGTAAACTAACCTGGAACATGCTGGGATTTTCATCAATAATTATATATATATATATATATATATATATATATATATATATATATATAGAGAGAGAGAGAGAGAGAGAGAGAGAGAGAGAGAAAGAGAAAGAGGCAAACTCAAATATATATATATATATATATATATACAAGCACAAAGTCACATACATTTTGTTTTTTATTGTGAGTGCTCTTGAAACTGTCTTAATTGGCGATAACAAATTACTCTTAATAATAATAAAAATAATGTTATTTATTTATTTATTATATGTATGTATTTGTGTTTGTGTATATTTGTGTTTGTATGTTTATGTATGTATATGCTTATAAAAAGTGTAAGTTAAGAATATCCTTACCATTTATATTTTAACTCTTTTTTAACTTATTCAAACCTCCTTAAACGAAATGAATAAATGAAATCAAAATAAATTAAGTGGATGCTTTTTGTACATACACTCAAAACTACAGCCATGCATGCACTTACACACGCGCACCCACACGACCACACAAACATGCAGGAGACAGAGGAAATATGGACCTCAGGTACAGAAGTAGTTGCTATGTTCGATTACAACATTCAGGGCAATGCTGAATTGCCATTCAAACGTGGCGAGAAACTCATCATCATCTGTCCCACCGCTGTTTGTTTAGTTTTGTTGTGTGTTGTGCTGTGTGTTACATTATGTTAGGGTTAGGTCTTTGTGATGTGTTTTGTGCTGTTCTGTTATTGTGTTGTGATTGTTGTTATATTTTGGTAAATAAGTGTTATTTTATTGATGGTGTATGGTTTCATGGAAAATTTTTAAGGTGATATCAATTACCTTTAAACAACAATAAATTTTTTGCTTGTTTTTTTTTACATTTATATTGCTTTAAATATTATTTCATTATGTTTTCTTTTTTTTATTTACGACATATTTGAATTCTCTTCATTTTTATTTCAATGCTACTTTTTGAACAATTTTTTTGAAATAAATACCCATATATAGCATTCACTACTGTTACTCAACTGTATAGGATGCACATTTGATTGCTTTTGATGTTTTTAATGTAATACATCGTTACATCATAACCACTTCATATTGACTTTGTTTCGACGCCAACATCAGTGATGCTTGATTCTCATTCCAATGTTTCTCTTTTCATCGCCACTTGAACAGTTTGTTGAATGTTTAAATAAGTCAGTATTTCCATGACATCCACCTACTTTCTTCTTGGTCTTCCTCCTTTTAATTAATACACCCTTGCATCACCAACACCACCAGTATTTCATTTCTCGTACTACTTTTTGTCCCATTCTTACATACCATAATCTATTTATTTATTGCTGTTTTTTAACATTTCTTGCATCTCCTTATTTATAATCGCCCATTCAGTATATCTCATACTTTTTCGGTAGCAGTTCAGTTCAAAAAGATGAAGTCTTCTAACTTCTGCTTCTAGCGTCTATGATTCATAAATATAATGATTAACAGGCCTGGTATTTCTGTTCCAGTGACCGGCTTTGAATGGAAGAGTGTTTGTTTACATGCTATCAATCAATCAATCAATCAATCAATCAATGTCCTGTTTTGTGAGTTTATTTTCAATATCTCCAAGAAATGGAATATATGAAAAAGGAAAAGGGTTATTTGTTAGATGTTTCGTTCACATATGCAATGTTGTTTAGTATCCCTTCCCTATCAGTTTGATACTACAGCTGATATATTCGAAATGTATTTTATTAGTTTTATAATCAAAAATTTATCCTACCTTCGTTTAAGTTGTTTTTTTTTTATCATTTTGCCAATATGTGGATTTCCTTCAATTCAGCTTATGACCAAATAGATGGAAATGTTGTATACACGTGGAAAAGTATGGAATATATTGCACTCTTCATTGTTGCATGCTGTCCTAATTTTTTATTTTACATATACCTAAATGGGAGAGTTTCTTGAAGCAATTTCCAAACAAAATCAGTCAATCTTCGTTTTGCGTCCAGAGACCCGGTTCCCCGAGGTAGGACGTTGTTTTCTTTGCCATCAACTTTTTGCGCCAAATTAGACGATCAATTGTATCCATTTCATTAAAATTTAGAGCTTTCATGTCTTTCGAAACAAAATACAAAACAAAAAATGCTAAGCTCATAATTTTTTGTAATTTTCGGAAAACATTTGCCAAAATTACTACCTCCAACAATTGTTGACAATGGCATGACATTTTATTACAAAGCAGTGCCATGCAACCATGCCAAAACCCCTTGTAATTTGAGGTGTTATTTTCTCTCCTAGCTGTAAACATTTTTAACAAAAGACTTCTTTCATTTGAAATCTTTACACCACCTTAAATTTGGAACATTGAATGGGAGAGCTCTTGACTGATATCATTATATATTAGGTCATATGCACCTGCTACCACTTATATCTGCCACACACTGAAACGTCAATCAAATTCAATCGTTAACGCAGTTAATCAGTAAATTTGAGCTATCACGCAGAAATCTTCCAACTGATACTTTTCAAGTTATGACTGACCGACTAATTCATTGAAAATGACCAGTAGGCAATTTTCTACCAACATAACATTAACATAACATTAACTCAACATTAACATAACATTAACTCAACATTAACGTACCATTAACATAACCTCAAAATTGATGTAACATTAATGTTAACATTAACGTAACGTTAACACAACGTACAGTTATGCGTGCAAGCACACATACACAGTGCCCACATAAGTGATGCATACACAACACACTTGACAGACACACTCTTGTATTGCATACTTGTATGTCCAGATAACATTTAAGTGCATAAAATCCGTGGTTCAGTAAGTTTATTTTGTAATCAGCCTATTTCCTCTTTGTGTTTATTTATTTCTATTTTTATTTTCTGCATTTCTGTGTGTGTGTGTGTGTGTGTGTGTGTGTGTGTGTGTGTGTGTGTGTGTGTGTGTGTGTGTGTGTGTGTGTGTTTGAGTATGAATATGTGTGTTGGTGTTTTTGTGTCTGCTGTGTGTTTGTGTCGTATCTGTATATGAACGTGTGAGTGTATGTGTGTTTGTGTTTGAATATGTGTGTTAGTATCATTGAGTCTGATGTTTGTTTGTTTGTCCAATGGATGTGTGTTAATGTTTCTGTACGTATTCTTATTTGTGAATTTATGTGATGTGTTAGGAGGATCGTCATGATTGTACAACGGACGCACCTACAGCTGAATTTATTTACCAATAAACAAACATGCTTGCCCACATCAACAAACAAAACACTCGAACACGTTCAAACGAATTGTTTTCACGCACAAACAAATCTAAAAACAAACACTTACATACACATTTTACACACACACACACACACATACACACACACACACACGCACATACCTACATACACACACATCACACACGCACAAACATGCAGGACAAATGCTGGTATAAAGCAAAAAATGTAAATGGGAAGGAGGGCTTCGTACCAACGAATCGCCTCAAAAAGTCACTACCTCCCAGAGTTAAGAAAAGCATCCAACCATTACCGCCGCCGGCGTCACCGAAACCATCACCATCGCCCGATCTCTTAAACAACTCTTCAAAAGTCAACCACCTGGGTTTATCCGCCATGGGGTTTGTTTCTACTTGTTGCTATTTGTTGTTTGTGTAAGCCTTTGCTGGTTTTTGTTTGTTTTTGTTTGATGTATATTTTTTTGGTTGTTGGTGTCCTGTTGTTGTTTGATGTAAGTCTTTGTTGGTTGTAGGTTTTTTGTTGTTGTATGCCTTTGTTGATTGTTTGTTGCTGTTTGGTGTAAGTCTTTGTTGTTTTTGTTGTTAACGTGCCTGAATGTTGCGGTTGCTCTTGAATGTATTGGTTTATGTTGTTAGAGGTGTCGTGGTGTTGGTTTGTGTTATAACAACAACAAAAACAATAAAATAAAATAATAATAATAATAATTGAAAAGTAAGCTCAGGCTATAATTCTATAAAGTAGTTATCAAATTATCAAATTAGTACACAATTAGGTTAGTAAGCCATATACATAAATAACTGCTAATTTACACATTCCGATATACTTATCCACTTGAAAAGAAACACGCACACACACTACACACACATACACTCACACACAATTTGAACAAATTCACTTAGTGAAGAAACAGTAACAAAATCACTCAAAACCTATATGAACGGACACATAAAACAAAATCCGTCCGTATTGAGCACTAATGATGACAAATGATTGCCTAAAATGGTTTTTATGTTAGAATGTACATAAATATTTAAACCGAAATGCAAAATATGAATGAAAATTTTGTTCATGAACTGAACAAACTTGATAATCAACTGAAATTCGTCTTACGACAAATTGATAATTTTTAAACAACTGCATAGTGGGTATGTCTATATACAGACGTGCACACTCCTACATAAATACCTATACCTATATACATACATAAATACTTAGCATATAGATTTATAGAATATATAAAGTCTATTTACCTTAAACTAAAAGCGGCCTTTCATTATGAATTTGGTACTATTGGTAATAATCAAATTTTAATCCAGTTTTAAACACAAAAAATCTATTCTCTGACATTTTGTTTTTTTATTTTGAATTATGATGAGCTATTACTTTATTTATAATGATTGTTTATCATTTCTATCAGAATTTTTGTTTATAGAAATGTTATCAAGAGTCTTTTTTAAAGATTCTTTGTTGTTGGTGCTTACATAATCCTAATCATTCCCATTTTTTCCCAAATTATCTTTTTCTAGCTGCTACTTCTTCGTTTACTTGTCATTTGGGCAATTTCAGATGAAGGAATATATTACATGCATGTTTTAAAATTCTGCTTGAATCTGCAGCACGAACGGTTGTTTCCACACTTGTTATATTGATAGAAAATTAGAACCATTCTGCTTGTTACAACTACAACTGTCCAGTTATCGCTCCTGCCATTGTGTGAAACAAATAATATATTCAGTGGAATGATCTGACAGCTGTTAGTTTTTGCAGTGGCTGGTAGCACTGAGAATTTCAAATTCAGATAATATGCTGAATCTTATAAAGTTTGTAGCATAATTTGTTCTGCATAATTCATGCACATGTTAATATGCAGGATGAAATCATGTGTTTCATCTGAACAACATTTCATTGAATTGAAGTTCATTTTAATACTGGGAAGTTTTGATTGCCGTGTGTAAGTGTGATTTAACAGGCTAAACTTTTTCCAACTTTCTTTTTTTGCTTCGTTGAATGTTTTCTTGATTATCTATTTTTGATATGTTTATTCTACTTAATAAATTTGTTAATATTAGTTTACATCAACAGTACTAATAAATTAAATATCCTAATTTGAGGTTGTTCAACTTTAAAGATACATTATTCATTATTGCCTGTTTTCATAAAATTCCCAGATTAACACAGTCGATCATCCAAATTATATACGCAATTGTCAATATGTGCAATTAATGATGTCGTTCACTGCTAATTATTGCTTAGAAAGTTTAAGATGTCCTGTTCTCTATGTTGCTGAATGTGTTTAAACAGTCTCTAGCTTACAAACTAGCGTACATTCACA